CAATACAAATAAAAAAAAATATATATAGGAGCTCCTAAAAAGGGTAATCGGGGACGCTCCCCCTAAAAACAATAACGAGATATATGTTGTAATTCTATCGTGACTACTCAAACACCAAAAAGCACTCCCGGGTCATCCGAAGATCCAGCGAAAAACAAAAAAATGATCATCATCATTATATTTTTTTTAATTTCATGGTTCAAAAGGTTTAACCCCCCCCCCCCCCCCCCCCCGCAAATAGAGCCTACTAAGAAAAATATATTTGAAGAAATAATGGTTAAACAAACCTCAAATTTGGTGAAAGACATGAACCTTCACATCTGAGAAGCTCAATTTAAAAGAATAGAACATAGACAAAGTGTGCTCTCTGAACATAAAGGAATTTAACTAGAAATCAGTCACAGAAGGATACTATTCAAACACTTGGAGAGTAAACAGAAACTTCTAAACATGCCTGAGTCAAAAGAAGAAGTCTCAGGGTAAACAAAAAAATACTTTGAATTGAAGGAAAATGAAGACACTACACACCAAAATTTGTGGAATGCAACTAAAGCAGTGCACAGAGAGAAAATTATTGTATAAGACTGCTTATATTAAAAGAAAGGTGTCAAATCAAAACTGAAGCAAAATAAGCCCAGAACAAGCAGAAAATAATAAAGAGCAGAAATTAATGAAACTGAAAATCAACAAATAGAGAGAAATCAATAAACCAAAAAAAGGTTCTTTGACAATTGCAAAGCCTCTAGCAAAACTGCCAAAGAGCAAAAGACAGAAAGCACAAATCAGACCCTTACCGGGACATAGAAGACAGAAATCAGGAAATGGAAGCAGAAATATCATTATTGATGTCACAGGCATTAAAAGCTAGTAAAGCAATAATACTAAGTGACTAAGCACACAAATCTGACAACTTATATGAAATGAAGAAATTACTCAAAAAACCACAAACTCATCCAAAATGAAACAGTTTGAGTAGATCTATGATTATTAGTGAAATGAATTCATAATTTAAACCTTCCTTAAGAGAAATATTGAAGGCAAATATTTTCCTGGCAAATTCTACCAAAATTTAAAGAAGTAATATCATTTCTATACAATCTTAGAGAAAACAATTAATCAAATTAATCTATCTACATAATAGAGGAATATGCAAATTAGCCCAGACACCGTAACATCCCGACCGGAGAACAGGGACCTGAGCTGCATGGTGCCTGGCCGGGACGAGGGACCTCAGGCCATGCCCCCCACCCCATGGGGCTTGATGGGGGACCTCAGGCTGCACCTCCCGCCCCAGCACCAGGCCGAGGGACCTCAAGCTGTGTCCCCTGCCTGGAGGGGCTTGATGGGGACCTCAGGCCATGCCCCCCCACCCCAGTGCCGGGCCAGGGGACCTTAGGTTGCACCCCCACCCGGCAGGGCTTGACAGGGGACCTCAGGCTGCACACCCCCACCCCGGCACCGGGCCGGGGAACCTGAGGCTGAGCCCCCCTGCCTGGAGGGGCTTGACGGGGGACCTGAGACTGCGCCTCCCACCTGGTGCCAGGCTGGGGGACCTGAGGCTGTGCCCCCCGCCTAGAGGGGCTTGACGGGGGTGGGGCCGGCGGGTCTGGGTCTCCTGCATTTTCGAAGTGCATACGGGTGGTGGGCAGGGACTTGACTCTAGGTCCCGCGGCACACCCCAGACTCTAACAGGAGGGAGATTATCATATATATTTTACTAATTTCCTTTCATCTCTGACACTTCAATTATAGAGAAAGGGAAAATAGCAATATTAAAATATTTCCTCTAGCCCTGACCAGTTTGGCTTAGTGGATGGAGCGTCGGCCTGTGGACTGTAGGGTCCCAGGTTCAATTCCAGTCAAGGGCATGTACCTTGGTTGAGGGCGCATCCCCAGTGGGGGGTGTGCAAGAGGCAGCTGATCGATGTTTCTCTCTCATCGATGTTTCTAACTCTCTATCCCTCTCCCTTCCTCTCTGTAAAAAATCAATAAAATATATTTAAAAAAATATTTCCTCTAATTAATTCCCTTTTAATGTGTACGAATTTCTTGCACCGGGCCACTAGTAAAATCAATAATAATCAAGAGTGTGACATTGGCAAAAGGACAAACACAGATCTAAGGATTACAATAGAGTACAGAAACAGACCCACACATATATGTTCAAGGGCATTTTTGACAAAAATACAAAGGCAATTCAATAGAGAAAGGATAGCTTTTTCAACAAATGGTGCTGGAACATCCATATGCAATA